TGAATGCCCCGAGTTCAATCCCTGGTACCAAAAAAAAAAAAAAAATCAGTTTGTATGCTGGTCCATACTGTTTTGACTACTGTAACTTTGTAATAATTTTTTAAAGGAAGAGTGTGTTAGTCAGCTTGACCAATAGATCAGTGACACAGAATAGAGACCCCACAAATAAATCCAACATATATTGGATCTTCAACAAGGGTGCTAAGAATACACAATGAGGAAAGAACAGCCTGGCCAAGTGGTGCATGCCTCCCAGAGACTCAGGAGGCTGAGGCAAAAGAATCACAAGTTTGAGGCCAGTCTCAGCAACTTAGCAAGGCCCTGTCTCCAAATAAAAAAAATAAAATGTGCTGGGGATGTAGTTCAATGGTAAAGTGCCCCTGAGTTCAATTCCCAGTACCTAAAAATAAATAAATAAAATAATGGAGAGGGACTGGGGCTGGGGCTGGGGCTCAGTGGTAGAGTACTTGACTGGGTAGGATACTCAGCACTGAATAAAAATAAACAAATAAAATAAAGACATGCTGTTTATCTACAAATACCAAAATAAATAAATAGACCAATGGAGAAAGGACAATCTCTTCAACAAATGGTATTCAGAAAATTGGATATCCACATGCAAAAGAATTAATATAGACCCTTCTTTTAAACCATATACAAAAAACCAACTCAAAATGGATTAAAGATTTAAGCATGCTGGGTACAATGGCGCATCCCAGCGGCTCAAAAAGCTAAGGCAGGAGGATTGCAAGTTCAAAGCCAGCCTCAGCAACTTAGCAAGACCTTATCTCAAAAAATAAAATATAAAAAGGATTGGGGATGCAATTCAGTGGTAAAGTACTCCTGGGATCAATCCCCAATACCAAAAAATATAAAAAATAAAAACCGTCACATGATCCAGCCATCTCACTGCCAGGTATTTATCCAAAAGAATTGAAATCAGAATCTCAAAGAAATATTAGCACACCCATATTCTTTTTAGCCATACTAACAATAGTCAAGATGTAAGAACAAAATAGATGTCCATTTGACAGATGAATTGAAAAAGAAAAAACGAAATACTATTTGGCCTTATAAAAGGAAATGCTGCATTATACAGCAACATGGATGAATCTGGAGGACTTTATGCCAAGTGAAAAAGCCAGGCACAATGGGGGCAGGAAAGATGGTGGAACATGATGGACATCATTACCCCAGGTACATGTATGACTGCACAGATGTTGCAACACTATATATCGTATACAATCAGAGAAATTAAAAGTTGTGCTGCAATTATGTAAAATTAATCAAAATGCATTCTGCTGTCATATATACCTAATTAGAATAAATAATTTAAAAAACAGGCACAGAAAGACAAACATTACATATTCCACTATATGAGGTATCTAAAATATAGTAGCCCCCCTTTATCCTTGGATCCTTATTCAAGACTCCCAATGGATGCCTGAATCCAAAAATAGTACCAAACCCTAGATATGTATTTTTCCCCCATACTTGCATATTATGAAGTTTAATCTACAAGAGATTAACAATCACTAATAGTAAAACAGAAAATAATAAAATAGGGGCTGGGGATGTGGCTCAAGCGGTAGCGCGCTCGCCCAGCATGCATGAGGCCCGGTTCGATCCTCAGCACCACATATAAATAAAGATGTTGTGTCTGCCGAAAACTAGAAAATAAATATTAAAAAAAAAGAAAAGAATAAAATACAATTAACTAGACTGTAAAAGTTATGTAAATGTGGTTTCTCTTGCAAAATCTTATTGTATGCAGATTTTAGCAACCTCAGCATAAGATTTTTTTCTTTCCTTTAGTTGAGAACTTTTACCTTTTCACTTAAAGTACTTAATGGCTTCTCTTTGTCATATGCAAATTGCCAGCACTGCCACACAACCAGTCAATCTGATAACTCAGCTACCAAGCACCTAACAGGTAGGTAGCATATACAGTATGGATACATTGGACAAAAAAACAATTTTTATCACAAGTAGGACAAATTTCATCACACCACTCATAATGGCACAATTTAAAACTTATTGTTTACTTCTGAAATTTTCTACTTAATATTTTTGAACCAAAGATGCCCACGGTGGGCTGGGGTTGTGGCTCAGCAGTAGAGCGCTTGCCTCACACATGTGAGGCACTGGATTCAATCCTCAGCACCAGATATAAATAAATAAATAAACAAAATAAAGGTATTGTGTCCATCTACAACTAAAAAAAAATACATTAAAAAAAAGGCGGGGCTGGGGCTGGAGCTCAGCCGTAGAGCGCTTGCCTTGCACATGTGAGGCATGGGGTTCGATCCTTAGCACCACATAAAAAACAAAGATATTGTGTCCATGTATGACTAAAAAAAAATTAATTAGAAAATGAGTGGCATTATTATTTAAAGGATGATTTCAAAACAACGTGAACACACTTAATACCACTGAGTTGTACACCTAAAAATGATTGTTTTATGTCATATATATTTAATCACAATTTTTTAAAAGTAAAAGTCCACAGCAAAGTACATAACCGTGCGGAAACTCTGTGTGGCAATACCAGAATAAAAACTATGTCAGGGGGAAACCAAGCAGCAGAGAAAGGAAAGGGGAAAGGAGGGGCTGTAGCTGGGACCCTGGCCTGGGAAGAGGGAAGGGGTGGGGAATCTCAGGAAGAGGCCTAGACAGAGCAGGGGGAAGGGTAGCCCAGAGGGAGAAGGCTAGGTCTACTCAGAAACCCCACTCCAGAGCACCTGGGTGACAGCATGTTCTCCTGCCCTCCTCACAGGCCTCTTGCAGGGCAAGGCAAACAAAGGTGAGCAAACGGGGCCGGGCTGGAGACGTGGCTCAAGCGGTAGTGCACTCGCCTGGCATGTGTGGGGCCCTGGTTCGATCCTCAGCACCACATACAAACAAAGATGTTGTGTCCGCCGAGAACTAAAAAATAAATATTAAAAAATTCTCTCTCTCCCTTTAAAAACAAAGGTGAGCAAACAAGGACTGAGCCTTAATTTGGGTTTTCTAGTCTCTTGATCTTGTCCCCTACAACAGGATACCAAGAGGCCCAGACCTACCCAGTCCACAGAAGGGAAGCCCTTCAGCGATATGGCAGAGGGCCAAGTTAACCTCAAGGACTGTGAGGCCTAAGGGTCACTGACTATAATAGAAGGATCCAACAGCAATCATGTGGGCTTACTTATGAAGGAAGTACGGGATACACCCTTCTCTACCACCTCCCAGCTCACCATCCAAGTGAATATTTGAGACTGCGGTAGCAAACTAGCCCCACTGGCTTCCCTGCTGTCCCATAGTCAGTCACTGGGCCTGTGAAAACCAGCCAGACCACATGGCTCTACTCAAAACCCTTCATTCCCATTTCCCTGATGCTGTGTGCACTGAAGAACTGCTCAAACCCAGAAGTATGGCCTTTGTCCTTACCCTGAGGTAATCTCTAAGTCCCTAGAAGGTCCTGATAAAGAGTTTGTCTGGGGACTTTAGCTATGTGGAGAGCTTTAAAGCACACAAATCTCCTTAAGCAACAAAGACTAAGTATTAGCCCAAAGTCCTGGGAGGGGCTGGAGATTACAGATCTGCCACGCAGGCAGTATGTGATTAAGCTCCAAGGAAATGCGGACAAAGGCTTCCTGCTTCCTTACTATACATTATGGCCAGGAGGCTTTGTCTCTGGGACTCCACTCAGAGGACTGTGGTAAATCTCTCATCTGGACCCTTCCCAAATTCTGCTGCATGCATCTCAGCCTCTGACTGGATGTGAATCCTTTTACTGTAAAATTGAGTCTGAGATATTCTAATGTGTTACACACCTGAAGGTCATCATGGGGACCCCCCAGCATGCAGCTGGTGTCTGAAGTGAAGGTAGTCTTATAGGAACTGTGCCCTTTGCCAAAATGCACATTTTATGACCACCACACCATATCATGCCTTCACAATCTATCCACCTCTTTTTTTGGTACTGGGGATTGAACCCAGGGACACTTTCCCACTTAGCAATTTTTTTTAAAAAATTCTTATTCTATTTTTTAGTGGACACAACATCTTTATTTTATGTGGTGCTGAGAATTGAAACCAACGCCCTGCGCATGCCAGACGAGTGTGTTAATGCTTGAGCCACATCCCCAGCCCCCACTAAGCATGAGTCTCAGTAAGTTGCTGAGGCCTCAAACTTGTGATACTCCCGCCTCAGCCTCCCAAGGCACTGCAGACCTTGTTTTTTACCCTTCTGCCTCACAAGCATATGTTCCTACTCCAGGGCACCAGAAAGCTCCTTCCCAGATACTGCCAGATTAACCCCCTCCTTACAAGGTCTTTTACTCCAAGGTCACCTCTTTGGTGAGGCCTCCTCTAGACCCCTCCATAAACTCCCTGTCTCACAAACATCTCTCCTACTTTACTTCTTCTTCCTTGTACCATGACTATATCCACTATACATTTTATTCCTCTAATTTCTTCTCCATCTCCCCATGAGTTGGCCCTAGGGGCAGGAAGAGTTGGAGATTTACAGTGCTGGAGATCAAACCCAGGGCCTCATGCACACTAGGGATTTTTGTGCGTTGTTCCCCATTGTAACCACAACTTTTAACAGTTCCTGGCATGTCCTATGTTCAATATATTCTTGTTAAATAAATCATCTCAGGTACCCTTTAAAAGTACCTTTAAGAAACCAGGTGGTCCCCACCCTCACATTCTCCCCGAAAGGCCAAGTCTACAAAAACAGGAAAACTGAGAACACTTAGCTGGAAACCTCTGCTGAGGGAGATATGAACCAGCAATACCCAAGATCTCTAGACTGAGTGGGGCATGGATATGGTCCCAGCAGTGACACATCCGTGCTGTTGACCTTGGAAAGCCCCATCTCTGGGCCCTGCACCCAGATAAAATAAAAAAAAGCTGGGACAGACACATGGAATTCTAGCTGAGATCACTGTGGGGCAGACTTGAGAGGGAAAGACATTTCTGCTGTGACAGAGGAACAAAGGGAAGACAAGACCTCCTCACCAGGCAGGGATGACTTTTATTTGAAGGCAGAAGATACCCTACTTGAGAGTTCATTTGTAATCTGCAAAAAAGTTTTTTAAAAAAAAGAAAAAGAAAAAACAGAACCCAAAGGGGCTGGTGAGGGAACAAGGAGGGTACTGGGTCCTAGATAGGTGGGGTCAGGCCACATAGGGGAAGCGTAACAGCAGCCCTTCATGAGGATCCAGCTTCAGGTTTTCCAGCTCCAGGGAGGCCCCTTCCTCACGGCCTGACTGAGTACTGAGTAGCAAATCAGCTTTGCCTGGCAGGCTGGGGATACTAGGCAGGTCAGAGGCCCCTAGCCTGGCTGTCAGGCCCATGTCTCCAAAGTTGAGCACCACCAGGAAACGCTCATTCTGGTCCCAGTGGCGGATATAGGAGAAGAGGCCAGAACTGGAGGGGAGCGGATGGAAGTCCCCATGCAGCAGGGAGCGCTCTTTACCACGCTGGTCACTCAGGCGCCGGAACAGGGACAGGAGGGAACCAGGGTCGTCATGCTGGCCCTGAGAATGATGAAAACACAGAAAGAGGGGATGAGGGGTCTCCCAGAGCAGACTTCAACAAGCTACCTGCCCATCCTCTGCTGGTCAGACCCCACCCATCAAAACTTCTTACCTTCACTGTCATGTTGATGCTTACAGACCCTGATTGGGGTAGGCTGGATTCATTCCACAACATGACCGGGGCTTCCACGGGCTACAAAGCAAAGAGAACAGGGCTGTAAGAAGACCAACTCCCCTCTCCTCTCCTTCCCACTCTCATCAATGCACAGCCCTCCCCACCAAGGTGTGGTTAACTTCTACTGGACAGACAAGGCTAACTCCAACCTCAAGGTCCTCACACAAACACTGTCCCCTCAGCCTAATGGACTTCCAGACAGCCACAGACCAACTCCCTCACTTCCCTCAAGTCTGCTCAATTACCTCACCAGGTTTTCTGTGACCCCTTTATATAAAATATGCCTCATTCCTACACCCTAGGCCCATTACCCTGCTCTCTTTTTCACAGCACTTATCAGCAGCTGGTGTCTTTATTTTATTTGCTTATTACCCAATTTCACCACCTCCAGTATTTCCATGTGCTATTGTTATCCCTAGTGTATAGCATGCAAGAATTATTCAATAAGATCTGTGGATTAAGTGAATGACAGTTCTACAAATATCAGTTCAGCACCAACTCTAACGAATGGCTAAAGCTAGTGAATGCCTTGATGGCAGTATCCCAACACAACACTCACCACCATGTATACCTCTGCTTACTGGACTGCTAGAGGACTCAGAACCTAGTCTGAGAACTCACCATCCAATGAACGAATGAATGATGGCTACACATTGAACACCTACCAAGTACCAGGCACTGTCATTAAAAAGAGCCCTTGGAGGGCTGGGATTGTGGCTCAGTGGTAGAGTACTTGCCTAGCACATGGGAGCCACTGGGTTCAATACCCAGCACCACATAAGAATAAATAAAAAATAAATGTATTGTGTCCACCTACAAGTTAGAAAAAATATTAAAAAAAAAAAAAAAAAAAGAGCCCTTGGAGCCTGGTGCAGTAGCACACGACTGTAATCCCAGTGGCTTAGAAGGCTGAGGCAGGAGAATTGCTAGTTCAAAGCCAGCCTCAGCAACAGTGAGGTACCCTTGGAGCCAGGTACAGTGGTACCTCCCAGCAATTTGGGAGGCTAAGAGTTCAAAGCTAGCCCCAACAAGTTAGCAAGCCCCTAGGCAACTTGATGAGACACCTTCTCAAAATGAAAAGGTCTGGAATGTAGTTCAGTGGCAAAGTACTCCCCAGGTTCAATCCCCAGTACCAAAGAAAAAAAGCCCTTGGGAGATGAGATATTGCTTAGAACACTTGCCTAGCAAGCACAAGATCCCAGGTTCAACTCCCCAGTAAAAATTAAAAATAAAACCATTCATCCATTCACTCACTAATAGACCCTTAGAGGAGCAAGGTGGTACACAGATATAGTCCCAGCTACTAAATAAGTTCATTTTTGGTGTTTTTTGTTTTGTTTTTGCAGTGCTGACAATCAAACCCAGGACCTTGAGAAGGCTGGCCAAGTGCTCTACCACTAAGCTACACTCCCAATCCCTACTAAGGAAACGGAGGCAGGAGGACTACTAAGCCTATGAGCAACATAACAAGAGCCCATCTCATTAAAGAAAAGAAAAAACTCATTTAATTCCAGCCACTCCAGAAGGAATGCAGTGTCACAGAAACGATAACCAACATCCCTAAGGGTAAAATAATACCCAATGGGGGCTGGGGATATAGCTCAGTCAGTAGAGTGCTTGCCTTGAATACACAAGGCCCTGGGTTCAATCCCCAGCACCACCAAAATAATAATACCACCCAAGGATGGTATGTATCTGCCACTATCCACAAAAGCCACCTGACATGATGAATGAACAAGACCTCTTCTACTATGCCAAGCAGAAAGCAAGGGGTACCTGTCCAGGAAGGGCTGCCGCCTGCAGGCCAATCTCATCCCCATAGCTGAAAACAGGAGTCCCTGGCAGAGTGAAGAGCAGCAGGTGGTAGAGTCGGAGGAGCTGAGCCGGCACGAAGGAAGTCAAAAGCCCTGCCTGAGACAACTGCAGGGACAGGTACACCAGTGAGCCCCAGAGCCTGCTTTGACCTCCACCTCCCAACCAACCTTTCCTCCCTCCCAAAGGACCTGTCCTCGTGCTCGCCAGTATAGTACTCACACTCCAGCTACACCAGCGGTTGTCAGTGGCATTCAAATATTGGGTGATGAGGACTTTTACATGCTCCCCACTGGAACTGGGTCTTGACAGGTATGAGTTGGTTAGCAGCAGGTCCTTAGCATTCTCAAGGAGGCTCAGGATCTGCTGCAGGTTGGAAGAGTCTGTCCCTGCAATCAAGAGCCTGCAAGGGATGGGGGAAAGGGGGGGTGTCAAATTTGGTATAGAACAGAGGAGTAAACAGAGTTCTCTGAATTAGGAACCCCCTTCTTGAGGCCTCATACTCCACTGAGTCAGGAAGGGGTTGGCACCCACCTATCTTTACTGAAGCTCTTGGTGATGTTTTGCCACTGAGCCAATAAGGATACATCCTAGAAAGAAAACACAGAATCAACGAAAAAGGAACATTACCTGACCCTGGTTGGGACCCTCTGTTCTCACCCCAGCTTTGCTCCTGACATGGAAAGTGCACTCACTGTCAGATTTTCCACACTCTGAACTTGGAATCCGTCCACATCAGCCTCCAGCCAAAACCTCAGAGCTGCCTACAGGGGGCAAATGAACATAGGAAAAATTACACAGCAAAGCTCTGAAAATCCCAGCCCACACCAACTCTCATCCACAATGGACTTCTCTACAGCCTTAGACAGTAGTTGGCCTTGCCTGGGTCTCTCTCCCAACTCTATTGCAAAGGGTCTTTCTTGGTCCTCTCCCTCTTGTGTCCCACTCCCCAACCCCATACTGGGGATTGAACCCAAGGGTGCTTTACCTCTGAGCAACATCCCCAGCCCCTTTTATTTCTGAGATAGGACCTTAGTAAGTTGCTTAGGGTTTCACTAACTTTCGCTGGCCTGAAAATTGCAATCCTCCTGAGTAACTGGAATTATAGGTATGCCACACCATGCCCAGAGATCCCTTCTATCTCTAACATCCCATTGATTGTCTTACTTTTACAGCATTTTGCCTTTTTTTTTTTTTAGGATTTTTATGTCTCCATTCCTGCCTCTGGCAAATACACAGCTTCACCTTTAATAGCTATGGAAAAGATTGAAAATCTATCCATAAACATAGCTCCTTTTAATATTTAACATGTGAAATACTAGTATCCTCTATTTTGGGGATGAAGAAACAGGCTAAGAGAAAGAAGACTCGTCAAAGATCATAATCAGGAAGCAGCAGAGACAGGACCTAAAATGCCTGTGAAGACCCCAAGGCAAATATACTTACTCCTCTCCCAGGTTCCTGGGGCCTGAAGGGGTGTTAGTACAAAAACTGGTCAGAGCAAGACCAAGAATGAAAGATCAGAATTCAAAGCACAGCCCCAGGGCAGTTGAGATGATTTGAAAAGAGGCCAGCTCTGCAGAACAGGCCCCAGCCTGAAGCTCTGGTATTCATCTGGCACAGGGTAGAACTCCACCCCCACCTCTTTTCTTCCCTTTCTCTATTTAATGTGCTCTCCACTCTGGTCTCCATTTTAATCTGATATTACCCCTGGTACCCTACCATCTGAAAACAATCTATTACCAGTAATTTTTTTTTTTTTTTTGTACCAGGGATTAAACTCAGGAGCACTCAACCACTGAGCCACATCCCTAGCCCTATTTTGTATCTTATTTAGAGACAAGAGTTTCACTGAGTTGCTTAGCGCTTTGCCATTGCTGAGGCTGGTTTTGAACTCACAATTCTGCAATCTCAGCTTCCAAAGCCACTGGGAATACAGGTGTGTGCCATTTCGCCCAGCTATTACCAGTAACTTTTAAGGGGTCTCCCAGCAATTGACAAGGGCCAAACTAGATGATCCCAGAGGTCCCACCTACCCAAATGCTGAGAGTCCAGAGTTCTTCAAAATCACAGCTACCAGAATCTGCCTCTACTTTTATTCTGCCCATTCTGAGCCTGTGTCCCAGAACCCAAGCATTAGGAGCTGAGGTGATATTGAAAGCCCTACACCCAGCATGCTGGGTACTGAGTTTGATCCACTACCTTTAGAAAAGATAAATTAGAAGACTTCTCAGGACTTCAAATCTTAGATACCTCTACTCCTCAGCCTTCTCATTTATAGATTAGGGAGAATATGTATTTTGTATAGTTATACAGGGAATTAGAAAACATCTACAAAATACTTGCACAGTCCCAGACTCTTAGGAAGACCCCATGCTTACAATTTCAGACTGGGCTCCACTCCAAACACATCAAAAACAAGAACTGGAAACCAGTCAGGACAGGATTCCCACAGAGAAAAGAAAGGACTTCCTATTCCAAAAGGATGAAAAATCAAACTTCCAGAATGACATCTGAGAAATTCCCTTCCTGGCACTGTCCCATCCCCAAAGTCAAGGAAACAAGAAAAATCAGTGGTCAGAAAAGAAACAGGGGGGAAAAAAAAAAAAA